AATGCCTTCTTTCTGAAAAAAAGGGGACAAATTCTGATTAAAATAATCTGTAGCATTATCAGATCGGAACCTTTTAATTCTCACACCAAACTGAGTTTGGACCATGTTATGAAAGTTGGGAAGAATGGTACCCACATCAGATTTAGACTTAAGAAGAAAGATCCATGTGACCCTAGTGCAATTGTCAATAAAGGTGACAATCCATCTAGAACTAGTAATGTTGGGAATTTGAGAAGGGCCCCATATATCCGAATGAATCAAATAAAAARGAGTTGAAGATCTTTTATTGTTGATTGGGAAAAAAACCCTTTTGTGCTTAGCAAGTTCACAAACATCACAATGAAAGGTTTCAACATCAATYCCTTTAAACAAGGAAGGAAGCATTGTTTTTAAAACAGGAAATGAAGGATGACCGAACCGAAAGTGTTGACGCCAAATTAAATCTTTATTGGAGGTAGATAAGGATGGCTCGTGTGTGACATGCAAAACAGTGTGAGATGGTTTGTTGGTTTCTTCAAGGTAGTAGAGTCCATCCCTTTCCTTAGCAAGTCCAATCTTCTTCCCCGAAACCTGGTCCTGAAATACACAATAAGAAGGATAGAACACAACATTGCAGTTCACATCCTGGGTGAGTTTATGTATAGAGATAAGGCTAGTGGATAACTTGGGAACATGAAGCACATTTTTAAGTAATAGGGATGGAGTAATTTGAATATTCCCAATCCCTGCCACTGTGGTGAAAGAACCATCAGCAATAGAAATTTTTCTATTACTAGGACAGGGTGTATAGGTGAGAAAATGTAGTGAAGAGGGTGTCATGTGGTCAGTAGCTTCAGAATCAAGAATCCATGGAAAAACACTAGCCGAGACATGTAATCCTAGAGATAAAGACTCACCTGAGAGAAGAAGAGAGGTAGAACCACTTCTGATTTCAAGGATTTCAAGAAACTCCTTAGCCTTTCAATTTCTTCATCATTAAATGGCCCCTGACTTGAGTGTTCTTGCTGCGGGATTGTGGGAGGTTTCCCATGAAGTTTCCAGCAGCGATCTTTTGTGTGTCTGGGCTTCTTGCAATAGGTGCACCAGAGGTTATCGTTAGAGTCACGGGTGGTTGTGTCACGAACCACCAACTCTGACAAGTGCCCTAACTGATTATGCCAAATCATAATCTAACCCACCAACTCTGACTTATTGTTCCCACTGACATGATGACTCTGATAACTGGGAAGCTCATCAAGAAGATAGATTTCATTCACCTTACGACCACTCCCAATCGTCCTCTTTGATTCTAGATCCTACAAAACACATTGACCAAGAGAAAAAATCACTAAACAGTTCAAATTCTTTGTCAAGCTACTAACAGATAAAAGATTAATGCTCAGCCTAGGAACATGAAGGACAGAAGGTAGGGCAATGGTATTGATTATCTTAATAGACCCTTTCCCAGCAATGGAAACATGTGATCCATTAGCTGTGGAAACTCTATCTCTACCAAAGCTGAGATGGTATGAGGAGAAGATGGTGGAAATATTGGTCATATGTTCTAAAGCTCCCAAGTCTATAATACAAGGAGATCCCCCCTTACTTGTAATGAATGCATAATTTGCAATGAAATGTGAACTACCTATATGTGTAAATGAAGTAGAATGGCTACCTCCTGATTCACCTCCACCTTGTTGTTCACCTGATAATGAGCTGGAACTGGTTGTACTGATTCAGAAACTGCCCATATCTCTCCAATTTGGCCCTCACTGAAGCTCCTACAACAGACTCTAGAGAAGTTGTAGTAGGTGGTCCTGATAAATCACCAATCACTACCACATTCACATTTCCCTTCTTGTTTCTGAGTCGACTCGGTATAAGGTGTGGGTAAAGCTTTCAACAGGTATCTCTAGTGTGTTTAGGTTTCTTACTGTAGTCACAAATCAGATCCTTCTTGTCCTCCTTCCTTGGTTCATTTCCACCTATATCCCCACTCATCTTAGGCTTCATTATGCTACCCATAGCTGACTGCTCAAGGCTTGGGTTCCTCATCTTCACATTCCTCTACTCTCTTCTCCAAACACAAAGGCATATGCTTAAAAGAGAGTTCCACTGTCTCGAGAAAGAATATGTTGTCGTGCTATGTCATATTCAGGGTTAAGTCCTGCTAGAAACTCAAATACCCTATTCTTCTCTACCAGCTTCTAATAAGTTGTTGCATTTTTGCTATTTTCCCAAATCACAGTCTCCAAATGATCTATCTCCTGCCATAAGGTTTTAAGGACTGAAAAATAAATTGCAATGGACTTATCTCCCTACCTAGTAGCAATCACCTGGTTTCTCAATTGGTAGGCTCTAGCAACATTCTCATCCTGTGAATAAGTTTCCCCTACTCCATCCCAAATCTTTTTAGTTGTGTTTAGCCCATAGGAAGTTCTTACTTATATGGGGTAACATGGAATTGCACAGCCAAATCATCACCATGTAGTTCTCCTGTACCCACCAGGAGTAGTTAGTCTCAAGTTTCTTTTCTTCACCAGTACCCTAGAAGCTCCTCCCTCCAAAGATTCCCTTCTCCGTGAGAGTAGGAGAAGAAAGAGAAGAGGCTACCACTCCCTCCAAAGGCCTCCAAAAAGGATGGGACTTGAACCGCTCTCTTCAGAAAACCTCAAGAAACCCTAAAACACCAGAGTGCCACTTCTTAGGTCAAAATTGAAGAGTCCTACTAAATCATGACTCTTCCCCTTTCTCTAGTTCTTCCTAATTTTAATGCTAAACCCTAGATCAACTACAAGGGATTGCAAATCCACCAAAAAATCCAAAAACTAGGCTTACCCGAAGTCCTTGATCAGCACTTTACCTCTTCATGTAGTCGGCTGATCTAGGGCTACATGATGGAACAGCTTAAACAATCTCTAAGCTTGCTCTTATACCAAGTAGAAAAGTGCAGATGATATGTTTTGATATAAAATTTGTGTAAAAAAGGGAAAAAGAAAGAGAAGAAAAGGTTTGTGCAGAGAAGAAAAGAGGGAAGAGATTAAAGAGAACGGGAGAATCCAAAATTAGGTCTAGCCGCCCCTTTCATTAGCTTATATACTCACAAATAAAAGTTGAATACAAAGACAAGTATGCCCTTAGTAAGTTGGCTACTTGTAAAAACTAAGTAAAAACACTTGAACATAAACTAATGGGCCTTGTGCCCAATAACTCTCTAACTATGCTATGTAAATAAAAACAAATGATATTAGCCCAAAACTCAACACCATTCATGGGGAGATGTTCTTCTGGGTTGGAGATCTGGATTGTGCCAAAACACCTTTTTCAAGCACTTGTGTCAGGGGTTACTTTGAAAGGCACGGTAGCGATGGAAATAAACAAAAAAGTTCACAACATGACTCTAAATCAAGCCCATCTTTAAGGTGCCCCATCAAAAATTCAAGCACAAAGGTCTAGGAGTAGGCATTTCTCCATGCATTACAAATCACAACAATTGCAAAATCAATGAAGAATGACACCATGTTGAGTAAACATCTTGAATTCTCCACCAATCTGGATTTTCCATACAATGTAAATGATTTAATATACATGTTGCCAAAATCCAAACTTCAAATATGTTCTATTATCAACTCGTACTGCTCCTAATTTATATGAAAATAAAACTGATTGAAGACCTTATAAAGAATAGCAAGACCAATTCCATGTGATTCTGAGGTCTAATAAACAGAATGGCATACTGGTAGTCAGTGAAAAGCTTAAAATGAACTCCTTAGTAAATGATATATAAGGTAGTACCATGCACATCTTCCACTGAACTGTATTCCATGGATAGAACAAAAACAAGCCAATATGACACAAAATAGTCCTTCCTGTGTCTGCAATTTTCTTTCTGCCAAGCACCTCAAGAAACCTTCCAGATGAGCCTAACAAAACAATAGCTGCATCAGGACTTGTGAGGATGATTAAAACAGCAATCTATTGCATCAGATGGTGGGGAACCACAGTCATACAAAGTCAAACTTCAAAATTAATAACATTATAGAACAGAAAACATCATCCAAACTGATAACTGGCTAAAATTATAGCTTACTATGCAATTGAGTTCAAGTCTCTTGGAATCCATCTAATTGAACATTCCCAGTAGCCAAAATTTCCCTGATCTCAATGAAATAGTAAGTCAATCACCTAGTCTTGACTCCCCTGGTCTAACACCATCTGATTTCATTTTGTAAAGCTTCATTTCACAGCTAAGGAAGAAGGATGGAACTGTTTGGCTATGCAAACAGCCATTAGCATCCCCAATAAGTGCACTGAAGACCCAAAGAATGCCATTATCATCCTTGAGGAAGATCCATCAATCCCAACTGGACCATGATTCCTAACTTTTTTATTGGAAACGGTAATTTCATTAAAGAGAATTCAAAGTACAACTGTCAACCCCAAGAATAGGGTGTTGACCTAAACTACAATTTAATCACAACACTGCCTAAACCATGTTCTCCCTAGCAATCCCTTGTTTTGTTAATCTGCTAACCCATTAGCAGACCTTCTTGTCCACTTGAAACACACCTTAATCTCCCTTGTTATGCTGATTATTTCCCTTACTCTTTTTTTTTTTTTTGATAAGTAAACAAAGTATTTATTAAATATCAAGGAGAATAGTCAATACAAGCATCCCACAAAGAGGAACGAAGTGTTACCTCTCACACAAAATAAAGAAAATAGTATCAAAGATCAATTACAACTGAGCCCAATATAAACTGTCCCTATTTACCCCTTGTTTAGGTAACCCATCTGCCATAGCATTAGCTGTTCTCCTAACCCAAGAGATTTCAATTTCATGCTTCTGGTAAGCCATTTAAACATTTTCATCTCATCCCTAAAGCACCATATTATAGACTCTGGATCCTTCAGCCACCCTATCACCAATTTTGAGTCCCCTTCAATCTCCACATTTATTAGGCCCATCTCACTTGCAATTTGTACCCCTCTCATAGTCATAAGCAATTCCACCCTGCTGGAATCCCCCACTCCCACAAGACCGGAAAATAGTGCAATGATAATCCCTTCCTTATTTCTCAGCACCTCCCCCCATGCCCAATGGGCCCAAGTTGCCTGGACGACTCCCATCAAAGTTTAGTTTCATTAAGTCTTCAACTGGGGGTGAAATTGGGACTGTTAACAGAAATGAGGTGGTGGATTCAATGCATGGAGGAATTAATCAGCCGTTTCTATCTCGGTGAAATTTAAGAATGTGTCGGATGGGTTCACTTGGGTGTTGACTAATATCTATGGGTTGAACAGCAATGGGGAAAGAAAAGAGTTGTGGGACGAATTGTTTAATATTAGAGAAATCTGGGAGGGCCCCTGGTGCTTGGGAGGAGATTTCAATGCAATTTACACAAATAGCCCTAACCAATAGATTTCCACTAGTATGAGTAAGTTTAATGAATTTGTGGATTTTTGTGAGCTTAAAGAGATCCCTCTTCAGCAAAGTGTCTTCACTTAGTCCAATTTACAAACACCTATTTGCTCAGTTGGATAGGTTTCTGTTTGGTACTAAAGAATGTTTGGGGGGGGACTGGTAGTAAGCACTTTGTCGAGGGTTATTTCTGGCCATTACCTGATTAGTATTGGTAAGGAGGTCTTTATGGGTGGCCCTTCTCCCTTCAAATTTGAAAATATGTGGTTCACCCATCCAGATTTTATCCAAAGGGTGGAAGAGTGGTGGGGAGAAGAACTGTGAGGGATCCAATAGAAGGGAGTATTTCTTCATAGGAAAATTCGAAGGCCGAAAAGGAAAATCAAAGAGTGGAACAGAGATCATTTTGGTAGGTCAAAGGAGAAGAAACTCAATGTATTATCTCAACTCAAACTGTTGGATGCCAAATAGAGCATAGGTTCCTTACGCAAGGAGGATAGAAGGATGAGATCGAATCTAAGGAAGGAGCTTGAAGTGATAATCTTAAGAAAGGAGATCTGGTTGAGACAGAAATCAAGGCATAAATGGATTAAACGGATAGTAATACTAAATTTTTTCATGCATTGGAAAATGAAAGTTATTAGGATTCGGCCTGCCCTTGAATCCTATTAAGCTGATAACAGTCAAGAAGAAGGAAGAGAAAGAGAGAGAGAGAAGAAGAAGAAGAAGAAGAAGAAGAAGAAGAAGAAGAAGAAGAAGAGAAGAGAAGAAAGAGAGAGAAAGAGCTGGTTCGAATGAGAGAAAAAGACCACTCTCCCATTCGGCCAGAATTGATTTATATTACTTATATTGTGGAAAAGACACATGTGCCCCTACTTAAGTAAGGGACACTAAACCTAACATAATCTTACACATCAGCACAAAAACACAAGTATAAAGACAGAACTACCCCTACATATTCGACACTAACACTCCCCCTCGAACTGGAGAATAAATATCATATAATCCCAGCTTGTTACATATGTAGTCCACTCTTCCCCGACTCAACCCTTTAGTAAACAAGTCTGCCCACTGGTTCCCTGTGTTAACATATGCAGTATCTATCACTTCACTCAGCACCTTCCCTCTCACAAAGTGACAATCAACCTCTATGTGCTTGGTTCTCTTATGAAACACTGGATTAGAAGAAATATGAATTGCAGCCTGATTGTCATAGTAGAGCTTCATTGGAGTAACAACAGTGTATCCCATCTCCTGTAGAATGTTCTTCAGCCACACTAATTCACAAGTAGTATGTGTCATAGCTCTATATTCTGCCTCTGCACTACTTCTTGCCACAACTGTCTGCTTCTTACTTTTCCATGTCACCAGATTACCCCCAAGAAAAGTGCAATAACCTGTGGTAGATCTCCTATCAGACATAGAACCGGTCCAGTCAGCATCAGTATATCCTTCTATTTCAAGTTTTCCACCACTCTTGTATATCAAACCACGACCAGGAGCCCCTTTAAATACCTCACAATTCTTAGAACCGCATCCCAATGTGGAACCAGAGGATTCTGCATGAATTGGCTTACCACACTAACCGCAAATGAAATATCCGGCCGAGTAATGGTTAGGTAGTTCAGTTTACCTACAAGCCGCTGGCATCTGCCAGGATCTTCAAACACTTCACCCATATCGCTGCTCAACTTAGTATTAGTTTCCATAGGTGTTTCAGCTGGTTTAGCACCTAACAAACTTGTTTCTTCCAACAAATCAAGGACATATTTCCTCTGACACACGTTAATACCATGCTTAGACCTTGCTACTTCTATCTTGAAAATGTTCCTGTAGAAAAGTCTTCAACCTATCAATGCCCATTTTATCATCCCCGATAATAACAATATCATCTACATACACCACCAATAGGATTTTTCTTGCCTGAGAGTCATGACTGAAGATTGAATGATCAACATGGCACTGTTTCATGCCAAACTTCTTTACCACCTCACCGAACCTACCAAACCATGCTCGAGGAGACTGTTTAAGCCCATAAATAGCCTTCTTTAATTTGCATACCTTACCATCCTCCCCCTGAGCAACAAACCCCGGTGGTTGCTCCATATAAACCTCCTCGAGCAAATCATCATGCACGAAAGCATTCTTGATATCAAGCTGATAGAGGGGCCAGTCATACATATCAGCAAGAGAGATCACAACACGAACCGAACCTATCTTAGCATCTGGGGAGAAAGTCTCTRTGTAGTCAATACCATAGGTTTGGGAGTACCCTTTTGCAACCAATCTAGCTTTCAGTCGCTCTACACTACCATCAGGTAAATACTTAACAGTATAAACCCACTAACAACTGACAGCCTGCTTCCTAGGAGGAAGAGTGGTGAAGTCCCAAGTATGATTATGAATTAGAGCTGAGGGTTCTTCTTCCATTGCACGGCGCCATCCTGGAGAGGCAAGGGCTTCCTGGACATCCTTAGGGACAACAATAGAGGATAACAAAGAGATAAACTGGCAATGGGAAGCGGAAAGGTGAGTGAGTGAAACATAATTAGAAATAGGATGAAGGGTACAAGTGCGTTTACCTTTCCGCAAGGCAATGGGAAGATCAAGATCAGATACTGAGTTTGGGGCTGGTGTGGGGACAATTGTCAGATATGTCGACATTGATGGAGCTAGAGGAAGAGCAGCCGGTACATGTGGGCGATGTGTATACACTTGACGGATAGGTGGCCATTCAACAGGTGGTGGCACTAAAGGCAAGGACTTGGTCACAACTGGAACAAGAGGAACAGAATCCGCAACTGGAAGAGGAAGAGGAGGAACTGATGAGGATGAAGAAACATCACCGAACCCCAAGAAAAACGGAGTAGACTCAAAGAAGGTAACATCAACACACACAAAGGAACGTCGAGAACTAGGATGGTAACACTTATACTCTTTCTGGGTCCGGGAATAGCCAAGGAAGATGCACTGAATGGATCGTGCATCTAACTTGTCCTTCCCGAGAACATCTGTGGATGTAGGAAGCATCTGATCAGCTAAACGACTCTCCTGTCTGAAGCTACTGTCACTAGTCATGGCATGATTGGTCCAAGTTGAAGGTGGACCATGCAAGTCATAGCAATAATTAATGGCATGTCCATCCATACCACAGTGGTTACACCTCCTCAGACCCGAACTACGTCCTCAGCCATGGGCTCCCCCTGAATCTCTACCTCCAATACGACCACCACCACGGTTAAAGGTAGGTCCACCACCACCACTCCGGTCATATACCGGTCCACTGCTACCACTACGGCCAAACTGAGCTCCCCGAGCTCCACCTCTTAACACCATGGCCCCTCGAAACTGTAAAGGTTGATCTATCGGAAACACTAGTGTTCTCGGTAGATCCAATGGAAATCATCCTAAGTCGAGCAAACACTTCTTCTAAGGAAGGGAGAGTTGATCCTCCTAGTATCTGGGCCCACACTAGTTCATAGTCAGACTTCAGCCCCAACA